GAGAGAGAGAGAGAGAGAGAGAGAGAGAGAGAGAGAGAGGTATATGTGTGTGTGGCGGCGGAGGGGCGGGGGATGGGTGACCCTCCCCCAACCAACCAACCAATCAATGAATCAATCAATTAATCAATTAATCGCTAAAAAAAAAAAAATCAATCGATCAATCAATCAATTAATCAATCAATCAATCATCAATCATTTAATCAATCAATCAATCAGTCAATCAATCAATCATTAATCAATCAATCAATCAAGTTGAATCAACCAATCAATCAACGAATATTTTTTTTTCTATTTTTTTAATTAATTTTCTCACTCATCAAAAATCACCCCAGGGCCTCCCCAAAAAAAAAATAAATTAATTTTGAATGCCCAGTCTTCTAGAGGAGAACGTGTGCAGGCCGAGGCCGCACGCCCATTTCCCGTGCGCGCCCCCACTAGACCATGGTGTGGCCGCGTGAGAACTTGGCCGCGCGGCCTAGGCCGCGCCGGCTCGGACTGCGCCTCAGGATCCGCGACCCAGGGTGCTTCGTAGGGGACAGGTGGGGGGGGTTTCCCCAGTTAGATACTCTCTGAATTGTGAGTTGTAGCAAGATGCTTTCCTGATCTACTGTACAAGAGAGCAGTGTTACTTCAACTCCTAAAAAGCGTTCAGAACTACCCATGATGATTATCTTTATCCCCCAATTTGCCACTGGTAGATGGGGGTCATAGAGGAAGAACACTGATTTGGACCAGTTAACCGTGACTTCTGACAACTCTGAGTACTCATCTAGACATTTCTTCAATGTTGTCATTGAGTCAACAAAATTATCAGAAATAAGAAGTAAGTCATCAGCGAGGGTCTTAACCTTGCATTGCCCAGAGTCTGCCTTGAGCCCAGTGATCTGAGGGTGGGATTTGATATTGCATAACAGGTTCTCCATTTGGATAACAAATAAGAGATGGGCAAGAGGACATCCCTGCCGTAAAGACCTAGTCAGTGAAAATGTTTCTGATAGGTTGCCATTGACCATCATCGCATCAGTCGACAAGGAGTATAGGGCCACCACCCAGTTACACATGTTCTCCTCAAAACCTACATGACACAGGGTGGTGAGAATGTATGTCCAATTAACACGATCGTAGGTTTTTTTTAGGTCAAGCATTGATACTGAAGTATTGACTTTTGTTCTTTCCACCACCTCCAGAGCTTCCACTGCTGTAACGATGTTATAAAAAATGGACCGACCTTGTACAAAGGCTGCTTGATCTTGTTTAATTAAAGATGGCAGATGCCATCCTAAATGACGCGCAGGCAACTTTGTTATGCTAATAATTTATATGACACGTTTAAAACTAAGATCGGACGATAGTTTCGAATATCGACGCGATCTCTTTTTTGTACAGTAAGGAAATAATCCCATTCCTTATACCTTTTGACAGGTTTTTACCTAAAACTGACGTTTCGTTAAAATTGATATTTTTTACTATTTTCGCGAAATTGAACTTTGACAATTTCGTCGATGTTTTTTTTGTGGAAATGAGTGACTTACTTCTTTGCAGTAATAGCTACCATTGCATTGTGATGGTATACCATATTGCATTAGATGGTAGGATCATCTATCGCAGACCATGCACCACAACTATGGTATGGTATATCCTGTATCGTAAGAGTCCATCATATAACATACATCATTGTATGGTACCCCCAGTTCACAACCACACTTATGTTTGAGTGACTTTCTTCTTTGCAGTGATGGCTACCATCACATGTTCTTAGTATACCATATCCCATAAGAAAAAGACCATACACCACAACTATGGTCCCTTATATCCTCTACCGTACGAGTCCATCATACAACATACATCATCAACGAGCAGTGTGAGTCCAAATGAAGTTATGCTAATGTCTTTTGTGAATTCCTATAAATGCTTTCCAATTCCTCTCAGTTTTCTTCGGTGTATAATAATATGAGAGGATACCCACAACCTATCGAAGGCTCTGAACTGTTATCAGTTACGACAACACTGAACAAATACGATGCAATTGGAAATTTGCAAATCATGAAGCTATTGAGTCTATTGCGATCCTTCATCTAATGCCCTGTATGTCGTCCATTGTGAAATTGAATGGTGGCACCTTGCCTCTCGCTAGAAGAGATGCATAAGTGAGCATGAACACTTCGCATTGACTCTCGTCCTCCTGTTTCGGAATGCCCTTCACTTCCAAAGTGTGTTCGAAGCACGATACGTCTATTGCTTGGCCCTGGTGCGTTGAGCGCTTTAGTAAAAATCACGCGAAGTAGCCTGTCACCTGTTCAGCTAACTTCGTGTTTGTATCCATTGAATCGTAATACTCTATCACATTCCGTCGACGGTCGGCCTCAACAAGTGTAGTGTTTCTTTTTTGTATCGTGATATGGCGCTAGAATAAACTCCGTGTCTGCTATGATGGCATCCCGAAACCATCTAGCAACTTTATCGTACTTATATTCCATGTTCCTGCCTAGAAGTTTAGTGAAAAAGTATGAGCTATATGCAGCTGTGACGGGGATCGTCCTCGTGCTACATAGATTGGACTTGTCAAACTGATTGTCACATTCGTGATGAAATGTTCTGCAATTGTTGCTATGCAGAATCATTTTCATGTAGAAATTCACAATTCATGAGGACGCTGAAATCATGCACGGTAAATAACAACTGCTCTCCAGTAGCTTCATTCTTCGTGCTTGTCAATGTTTTCGTATTATTCAGCTCTATACTCATGTGACGTAATGCCTCTTCTTCGGTCTCATTGAGGGCGTCCGTTGCTAAGTGAATAGTCCAGCCATGTACACAGCTGCGTTCGCCTTCATTGCACTGGTTAACTGCATCACCGAACAACAATTTGAACTGTTTGTTGGTAATGTTTGTTTGCACTACATCCATTAAAACCGTGTTTGTCGAACACTCCGTAATTGTATGTTGCACTTTAGCGTCTACTCTGTGTGTGTGTGTGAATGTTTCATGTGTGTGTGCCTATGTGTGTATGT